CACTGTTCATATCCATAATCTATCTATTGTAACTGTGGAAATTTAGGGCACAAATAATCAATTCAATCATCTGCACAGATGCTGAGATCGGTGAAAATACTTATATATCTTCATCGATTGTGGTCTGCCGACAGATAGTTTCTGCAAAAGGTATATGTCTTTTCTGAAATTTAATAAAGCTCTCCGGATGTTAGCAATCCTCATGCTTGTAAAATCGAGGAACATTTTTGTTTAAGTTTTGATTCATCTTTCATTGTCATTTTCTTTTTTTATTTTTATTGCTGTAGAGTTTTTCATTTCGTTTAGGAAAAAATATAAAAAGAAAAATTGTTGAACCATTTGGTGTGAGAGCCTACTGTAAAATTTTAGCAATAAAAAACGAATCTGCTTGTTGTAAAACTGGCGCTTATTTTCTTGCAGCGCGAGTGCACAATGAACTAATTGAGCCTAATGATGAAGTAGAGCTTGAGAAATGGACCCAAGAACAGTGATAGAAAAATGTTTGACTCTGATACTACTGGCACTGTGTTATCTCACTTATTGCATTTCATCCAATTCATTAATAAATTATTTTTGTTAGTTAATGCGCAAAACATGTCACTTATGATCCTAGTTATGACGAACAAATGGATATGGATCATATAAATGGAGCCTGAGTTGTCAGATACACTTAACTTAAGATTCGAATTGCCAAATCGACGTGCTGAATAATCGGATCATATGCCGCTATCCCGCGTGTTATAATGAATCAGCAAATGGTCCTCGTAAAGGAAGTACATAATGCAGTTATTCGAGGTATCGCAGCTAGAAAAATTCAGATTATGCTATTAGCGATTATGCTAGCGATTAAACTACTAGCGATTATCCTATCAATAATATCATCTGCGACAATGCCGCAAACGACTTCGTTAATGACGATCTAATACCAAACTTAAAAATTGCTAGTACAATTATTACAAACAGGGCGCGGGAGTGAACAACCATTGGGAGAACCAATAGATGCTATAAAATAAATCTGCTTTCTCACGATATACGCTGAATGTTTTCGATGTGGCGTGAGATTGCCAGATGATGTGGAAGGTGATGGTTATATTCCGCTCTTGCGATGATCTGGTTTGAGGTATACCTGTAACTTTCTCTCGGAGTCACAATATGATGTTAGACTTGGCTGGGATCTGTCTTCTGTATGCTATTTTCATTCATTGAAATAAATGCAACTCTTTTTCTCTTTTAATAGATCGAACTGAGGTTACTGATCATCACATAATGTCCGTTTAATCTTATCCATTTTGTTTCTCCGATATTGTTTCCTACCTGTTAACTTTCAATACTTTTACAGAAACAGTTAATCAGTTATTCGATGGACCGACATTTTAATGATCTTTGGAATGTAGGATTTTTAATCCAGCGTAGGATTTTTAAGTAATTAAATTGGAATAAATACATAAATTCATCTCCGGAAGTGTTTACAATTACTATTATCAGTGAACTTTCCAAATGAAAGCAATGCGTTAATTATACGAGGATGGCTTGTTCTATTATTGGCGAATTTTATTTTGAAGGATGATTGTAGGAGGAAATGAATGTAAAATAAATGCACAAAAATTATATTCCTGAAAGTACATTCAACGTTTGGTAAGAGATGCAGAAGCCAGGAACAGTTATCTATTCGAGGGGAATTATTAAATACAATCTCATATTCGTATTTCATTATAAATGTATTTTTCTGCCTAAACTATTCAGCTTACATTGTTTACCATACTTAATGAAATGTTTTAAATCATCTTGTTTTTGAAAAAATTTCTCTTTCATTCACAATACCATAAATCGGTTACTGGTCACATATCGAAGTTAAATGAAAATTTCATTTATACCTGCAGCAAAACATCAAAAACGAATTATTAGTATTTTATTTCAATAATTTATTATACTCCTTAAATGATGTGATTTTATGAATTTTTTCCCATATTTCAATTTCAGTTCGCCAGTAGGAACTATGAGCAGAGAGCAGTTAAAGATGCACAAAAAAATGAATAAGTTGCTTTACTTCTTAGTTTAATTTCAATTTCGTACCTTATTGGGAATAAAAAAGGAAGTGATATATAGTCATCCATTTTTTCATCTTTCATTTTTTGCTAATAGATTTCAGGTTCCCTTAATGGAAATAGTTTTCTGATTTTCAGGTTAGCTATTTGGGACAGAAGTGCTGATCGCTTTTCAACTGACCTGGCTTTCTTCGTTTTTTCGGCTTCTCATACATCAATTCTTGATATACCGCGTGAAGAAAGTTACTTTGATACTGAGAAGCATGTCAATGATTCTTGGCTTGCTAGTAAAGCAATCACTGCTCTCTTTAATGTTACAGCTCAATGCTTATATCAGAATATCACCAGCTATTGCTTAGTAAAGAATGATATGTTATCGTTAATTCAGTACTATAATTAAGAAGTTACTTGGCTTGTTAGTAAAGCAACCCAAAGTAATCTGTTCGAATAAGTTCTCATAAATTAGATTATCTATACAATTATTATCTTTACTCGAAACTGTCATGGTTTACTTTTAAATTTTTCAGTTACGTGCTGACTTGGCGGTTTTATGGAAATTTGGAAACCACATGTTGAATTGGGTGGTGGCGAATGGGAAAGATCACAGAGTACTAGCGCTGTTGTTACACGAAATGTGAAAGATGCTTTGCCAAATCAGGGACCTCTTTCGATTACTCAGCCTTTACTGCCACTGAACTCTTTGCCGAAGAATAGTACCACCGGTAGGTTCTATTTAATTATTTTACATAATTTTTAGCCAATTAAGAAATGCTAAATGAGTGGAGAATGAGAAGGGAAGTCGTATTGGACTGAAAAATGAATGTAATACAGGAGCGCCCATGAGGTAATTTTCAATTTTGGTAGTGACTGCATGTTTAAAATTGTTAAATATTGTTTAAATTTCAATTTTTTTAGCTGGTAACAAGAAAAAACAGCAATTGCACAAGTGGTACTGTGTTTTTTGCTACAATAACGCTCGTTTCACTGTAAGTTTGCATTTTCACTAGTCGTCCAAGAATCATAACTCTAAAGAAATTGTGTTTTTTATATTCCTATCGTTTTGTTTCAGTACGAAAAGGGCGGTATTGTCCTTCATCCACAACTTGATGGACCATGGCAAACTCATGTATGCAAGGATTCCAACGGTTTAGTGATTTGTCCTGTTTTAGCTGCGTCAGTTTCATTTCTTAATTTTTAGAAATTCCTAGAGGATTATTTCATTTGCCTTCTTTGTTTGAATAAGCCTGAAAATGATAAGTTTAATTTATACATATCTGTTTGAATAAGCCTGAAAATGATAAGTTTAATTTATACATATCATTCTCAATTAACCATATTGACCACTGTTCAAGAATGATTAACAATTAAATTTGAGAAGATAAGTCTATTTTCAATCATGGTTTGGAACAAAAGAAATCTTGTTTGTTTTCACAATTAAAAAAGATTAGATACATTATAGATCGATCACGATTAGAAGATTAGAAGATCGAAGTAAGCAACTCCAATTACGTAATGAATTATTTTATAGACACGTCTGCCGTTATTGTGGTGCTACCGGTATATTTGCACATACCGAAAAATATTGCAATTCAGAGAAGAAGCGAAGTCTACATGTAATGAGTTTGAGACGAATTGATTAGATAAATATAGAACTGGCCTGATGTCTTGTTAAATATTCTGTGGTGATATTTGGATAATGAATAGCATGTTTCCCGATGCTAGTTATTTAAATGATGAGATAATCACAACAGAAGAGTTGGATTCAACATAATTTTAGCTTTAGAAGGATTTAGATAATTACACTGATCATCAAAGCAACAATACTTTTGAATTATTTCAGTTCCACTTCCCTCTCTTGATTAGGCAACGAGAGTTTATTGGTTAGTATGAGTTATCAACATGGCTTATGAAATCGTTAACTTGTAAATTCTTGGTCGCATATAAGACGAACTGTTGTTTATTCTCTTTTAATATTTTGTTCCATGATTTCACATCTTCCATGCAAATATTCATATTTTAAAGTTCTTATCTGATTTATGGTTTTTTATCTAATACAATAAAGATAATTCATTTATTTAATAAACCATCAGAATGTGGGAAGAAGCCCCAAAGATACTGATAGAAAGTCCAATATCTTTGGAGTTTCTTCCCACATTATTTTCACAATCCCCTCTAGTTACTGGAAGACAGAGTAAAAATTGGAAAAATTAGTCATCGTGCTGCAGTAGCTTCTTGCTGACTGAAGATATTGTAAGTATATATATTCTCCATATTTTCTTTTCATAGCCGCTACTTTTATACCATCCAGTTTTCAAACTTGATAGAATCCACAAAAAAGTTTTATTAAGGGAATTTACAATTTGTCAACTTTCTGGCCCATTGGTATATTCATTACATTATTACTCTTGCTATATATGACTTCTCAAGATTTAAGGCCGAATTTCAATGAAAATTCTGTAGAAGGAGTGGTAAGTACAAAGCGATAAGGTTCAGAACTGCGAGTGGAAGACCCTCATTCAAGGTGTTTTAGCTGTAACCAGTTAGTCAGAAAGATGGCAAGAGATTAATCAGCATATACTTAATAAGTGATCTAATCCGATTGGTGACCATTGCTGTGTCTCGATGTTGAAACCAAATATTACGTTTCGATCGATGTAGATTGATACATTGCCGAACCAGTAAACAGGCTTCCCCTCTCGGAACTTATTCAGCTGAGGTACATACAGGATACCTGCTTCACGTGCCCTCAATTCCACCAGATCCTGAAAAAAAAGTTAAATATTACTGAAAAACAAATTGAAGAGAAAACATTCATCTAAGAAAGCCATTTTCCCACGCGCCTTTCTGTAGTGAAAATCTATAAAACTTGATAAAAAACATTTAGATGCAATGCCCTCGATTGCATATAAATGTTTAGATGCTCATATAGAGAGATAAATAAATAAGTAAACCACAAAAAATTTAAATTAAATTGCATAAAGAGAAGAAACTAAAGTTCAAACCTTAAAAGAGAGATGGGGAGGTGGAGGTTGTATTCTCGGCGCAGGATTGTACATACCGGGAACCGGTTCCGAAGGTGGTAACGGTGGCTGCACTTCTTTCGTAAGATGAACACCCTGTTGAGCATGCTTCATTGCAACCAGCGCACGCTTTAACTGTTCTGAAATATTAGCATTAGAGAAAATTAGTTAAGAGAGTATTTCTAGAGTGGTAAAGTTTGTACCTTGTATAACAATCAATGAAGAAATTTCAACAGGAAAACGACTTTTCCATTCATTGTACCACATTACTACCTCTTGAAGTACTACTCGTGGAGATTCTAACCAAATACATAACGTTTCGTACCACTGGAAAATATTTTCATTT